GCCATATCGCCCCCTACACTTCTTGTAGTGTATTACAGTCTGTCAGAGTGACTGTGTGGATCATATGAACATAATAGAGCTTGTTCATATGAACAAAACCTGAGCAGTTTTGGTCAGTGCGTAGTTTAGTTTAGGATAAGCTGTAAGTTTGTCCTGAGCAGTAATGAGTTTTCTTTCTGAGCCTGTGTTGGAGCGGCTGTGGTTTCGGTGTGGGGGGACGTGCTGAGGTGTTCAATAGCGTCCTGCAGCCTGCGGCTAGCTGGGCTGCCTGATTGTTGTGGCTGAAACTGATACTGGCCTCGACCTAAATGCCATTCCTGAGGCTGGAGCTTGTGCCCTCTGCTATTGGAGAGCAGCCACTGAGCACAAAGGTTCGCTCCAAGTGTGAGACCAAAAAATGGACTCAGTTGCCCAGAGTTTGCTCTTTGTGTACATTAAATGGGATCTGCATCCTGCCTAATAGAAAATCAATGTCAGCGTATCATTAAAAATGTTACGCTTATTTTAATGCATTATTAAAAAAAATCATTTTTCCGCTGCAGTGAAACTTTCCACCAGCTGGTGGTGCATGTTTGTTTTGACAGAACTAATAAAGAGAAATAAAGAAATGAACTGTTGAATGAACTGATTCAGTGACTCAGTGACTCTTTTATATGAAGTGATTCGTAGCGCAGCTGCTGGAGCTGCTGTAGGCGAGGCTGCTGTTGTGTAATCTGTGCACCACAACTTTGTTGCTCTCTGAACTAAAGTGCTGCCAGATTTTACTTTTCAACACTATTTCCTCCCTGATATCCCATGATGCAAGTAGGCAGAGTGATTTCCATACTGTGGTCTTTGTCCTTCAGTAATTGTTTCTGTGCAACATAATGTGCAGTAGCCTATATTTCAGCCTGCTAATGTTATAGGCTATAGGATATAGGCTAACTTAAGCACGATAGAATGAGGAACTGTGCAGTGATTTGTTGTTTCCGTTCTACTGTGTAAGTTTAGTGCTCAGTTTGAAACGACACTGTCCTACAAAAACCCATAATGCAACAATACAGTACGTACTGTTAGAGTACTGTATTGTGTATATATATTGTATATATTTGTAATATATATATATATATATATACATATATACACACATAATGTGTGTGTGTGTAAAAAGGTATAGTGTATAACTTAGATATAGTGTATAATTTAACATGTATAATCTAACTGTAGTGTACAGTGTAAGAGTATAGAGTACAGTGTGTATATAAAGCAGTGTATAACAGTGATGTTGTTGATGATGTGCAGCTACGTTACTGTGAAGTTTTCAGTTTCAGATTTTAAGTTTGTGAAAAGTATTTCTGAACTGACTCCAGACAGCGGCTGGTTGTCGTGACCTTGAAGAGGCAGCTTTTAAGCAGTTAGAGCAGTTTGATTCAGCGGGTTGTTAAAGTCTTAGAGACCAAAGAGAGGAGAGTCTTTGATCTTCAGAGCGCTTTCACTCTTTGTGCTGCGGCGTTTTGCGAAAGCAGAAATGTCTGATTCAGTGTGCAGTGCTGATCAGACTGTGCTGCAGTGGAGATGCTAGTCGTGTGTGAAAGCTTTCATCTCTGTTTAGAGATTAAAGACCATCATTGTTTTTAATTTAAAGCGAAAAATCAAATCCTTCCATGAGCGTCAGTGAGCTTTGCTGTGACAAAGCAAGTTTTGAAAATGTGTCTTATTTTGTTTTTGGTGTGAAAAAGCTTTCTCACCCCATCTAGCACGAATGTCCTACATGCTGCCCTGTGCTGAATGGTATGGTAAAATATCTGTGTGGTGAGTGTGAGATGGGTGAGTGTGAGATGGGTGAGTGAGATGGGGGGTGAGTGAGATGGGTGAGTGAGATGGGGTGTGAATGTGAGATGGGTGAGTGTGAGATGGGGATGAGTGTGAGATGGGGGTGAGTGTGAGATGGGTGAGTGTGAGATGGGGGTGAGTGTGAGATGGGTGAGTGAGATGGGGGGTGAGTGAGATGGGTGAGTGAGATGGGGTGTGAATGTGAGATGGGTGAGTGTGAGATGGGGGTGTTTGTGAGATGGGGGTGAGTGTGAGATGGGTGAGTGTGAGATGGGGATGAGTGTGAGATGGGGGTGAGTGTGAGATGGGTGAGTGTGAGATGGGGGTGAGTGTGAGATGGGTGAGTGAGATGGGGGGTGAGTGAGATGGGTGAGTGAGATGGGGTGTGAATGTGAGATGGGTGAGTGTGAGATGGGGGTGTTTGTGAGATGGGGGTGAGTGTGAGATGAGGGGTTAGTACTGACACTTAAAAAAAAGCACAGATGGGCTAAACTGCAGTGATAATGGTGAATGCAGTGATGATTATAGTGATAATGTGATCATAGTGATAGTGATAATGATGCTTATGGTGATGATTGTGATAATGGTGATACTAGTGATAATGGTGATAATAGTGATTATGTTTATAATGATAATGGTGTCTATAGTGATTATTGGGATCGTGGTGATTAGAGTGATAATGGTGATAATAGTGATGATGATGGTGATAATGGTGATAATAGTGATGTGATTTAGGTGATTATAGTGCCAGTTGTGATTATGATGATAATGGTGATTATGGTTATGGTAGTTATGATGGTGATAAAAGTGACAATAGTGATTTTGATTATGTGTTTATGGTGATAATGGTGATTATGGTGGTAATAGTGATAATGGTGATCCTAGTGATTATAGTGATGATAGTGATTATGTTAATAATGATAATGGTCACTATGGTGATTATAGAGATAATAGTGATTAAAGTGATAATAGTGATAATGTTGATTATGGTGATACTAGTGATTGTGGTGATAATAGTGATGTGATTTTGGTAATTATAGTGACAGTGGTGATTATGGTGATAATGATGGTGATTATGGTTATGATAGTGATTATGATGATATAGTGACAGTGGTGATTATTTTGATAATGATGGTGATTATGGTCATAGTAATTATAATGGTGATTATGGCAATAAAAGTGACTGGTGATTATGGTGATAATAGTGGTAATGCTGATTATGGTGATCGTGGTTACTGTAGTGACAATGGTGATTATGGTGACAATGGAGATTATGGTGATAATGGTTATGGTGATAGTAGTGATAATAGTGATAATGGTGAATCTCTGTTGGAAATTCTTTTTAGTCTAGTCTTAGTTTAAGTTAAGGTACTCTTTAAACCCCTTTCCCGAGATTTGGCAGCTCGGTATGTGAAACCAAAAATGACATATTAGATCATTGCAGTCGTCCAGTCCAGAGAGACAGAGGGGATTGTGGGTAAGGGTAGTGGGGTCTATATGGGGGTTTCAGACAGTGATGAGGCCACAAGGAGTAACTGAACCTTCTTTAGCTCTTCTTTACATCCATAATAATAATATACATAACATTACATCATTAATACTGCAGTTAGCTCCACCCACACTGTCTGATTGGTTAAAACCTTTGTATCTACTGTTTTATCAGGTGAAAAACAGAGATCATTTTCATCTTTCATTCATCTGACCACCAGTCACTAAGCAACAGCAGTGGCCACTTTACGCCACGGTGCTGGAGAAGAAGTTGTCAGTATTGAGAACTTATTGGAGGAAAAGTTCAGTTCTGTTTTTTACTGTATTAAACTGTCATATTAAAGCAGAAGAACTCTGTTACGGTGAATAAGATCACGACTGTGATGATGTGATCTGCTGTATCGCTCCGCGTCTGCAGTTCTCTTCCTTAATCATTACAGACAGAACGATAACTGGTGGAGCAAAAGCTTCCGCTCAGGTTACAGGAGTGAAAACTGGGTAAATCTTCACTGAACTGCTGTTTAACATCTCAAGGCAAAAGCGAAATCAGTAGTGTCAGCGTTAGTGCTAGCATTAGTGTTAGCATTAAATCTACTGAGAGTGACACTTGTTTACACAGCGGTCAGAACAAACCTGTACTCTGGTGTGCAGCTCTGTTTGGGTCAGTAGCTGCTCGCTAAGCTAACATTAGGTAGTCAATCCAGACACCACAGAACAGGTTTAGGTCTCTTCAGCTCCAGCTGCTCCACTTCACTCCCTCAGATTTGAGTCATTATCATCTAAACTCGTGTCGGTGCTTTAGTTAGAGCCAGAATCCAGCATGTTGTGTGGTGAGCAGAGCTGTTAGCATGCTAACCAGCTCCTCTCTCCTAGTTAGCAGCACTGTTTAACGTTTAGCAGTTAATAGATTGTTCATTGAATGATGTTTTGAAAATCATGCAAAATCGTGTTCATTTATTTATTTGTTTTCAGAACTGACAGGAGGTTAAAGGGGAATTCCACTAAAATTTTCAAAATTTCTGCACAACTCTGTAGTTGAGATTTGTATTTCTTTACGGTGGTGGTGATAGGAAACAGGGGTCACATTGACTACAACACAGATATAGACATTTTATTTACTATCCAGAACCACCAGTGAACCTACACGAGTCTTCTGAGTTTATATGGAATGTTGATGATGGAAAATAGTGGAAAATCTGAAATAATAAGTTTTCTTTGGGGACTATTTTGCCTCACAGCGCCCTGCATGTATCCCTCCACCATGAATGGAGTTTAAGTTCTCTAAACTATCATAAAACAGTGTCTCAGTCATCAGGCAGTGAATTCATAACCACTTACTGTAGGAACTTTCTGTGAGGGAGCTTTTAGAGGTGGACGTCTGGTTCCTATCACCACCACTGTGAACAGTTCTGACTCTGTAAGTTTATCTAGAACAGAGCGTTTCACACCAAACCACTCTGAACCGCTCTGTTTACATCTTAACCACTTAATTATGCAGGAATTTTGAAAAGTTGGTGGAGTTCCCCTTTTAAAGTTGGATTTGATTTTGATATTTTATGTTATTGTTGTTTTAATTCGTATGCATGTCAAGTAGGTGGGGTCACTGATTATATTATTATTACTATTATTATTATTATTAACTATATAGCCCTAATATGATAAGTGTTTTTAACTCTCTCTCTCTCTCTCTCTCTCTGCAGATGCATCCTCTTGGTCTGTGTAATAATAATGATGAGGAGGATCTGTACGAGTACGGCTGGGTGGGGGTGGTGAAGCTGGAGCAGCCGGAGCTCGACCCCAGCTGTCTCACAGTGCTGGGAAAGGTAAGACCACCAGAACCCTCACACAGTTAAAGCGATAATTTGGTGAAAAAAATCTAATTTCCCCCCAGTTTACCCCAAATGTAGTTTATCAGCCAAGACACCTTCAGTATCATCTGATACCGATATTAAAACCTTGAGTATTGAACAATATTGATATGGAAATTTTGAGTATCAGACAATGTCAATATTAAAAGTGCGACTTTAAATATCTGTAAGTGTTTGAGGTCTGAAGTCTGACGCGGTTTGAGGGAAGACGAGGTTGAAGTTGGATTTTTATTTTAACTTTCCGCTCCACCTTAAATGGTGCAGTAGATACGGTCTGATGCCAGAAGTGCCAGAATGTAACTGCTGCACTATGTAGGGTGGAACGTGCAGTTTGGATCCAAAGCTGGGGGCAGTGTGATGATTTAGGCGTGCAGTTTGCAGCAGAACGGTTCTCCTGAAAGCGTGAGAGCGTTTTGAAGCTGCCGCTCTGCTGGGGCCCGATCTCTGGGGTTCCTCTTTCATCTGTGTTTGTGCTGATATTATCTCAGTGGGGTTTTTTTTACTCTGTGTCAAAGGTTTTCTCCCAGCAGGCGGAGCTTCCCCCCCCCACACACCCACCCCCCCCAGTATGAAATCATGGTTTTAGTGACCACCCCCCCCACTGTGCTGGTTGCCATGGACACTGGGAAGCTCCTTGTGTGATGTGTTTGAACGCCCCGGAGGAACCGGCCTCGCTTCAATAGGACACAGAGAGAGAGAGACCATTATTATACTACACAACACTCGATCGCCCATTTACTGACAGAGAGAGAGAATAGAAACCCAATGGGGCCCTCAGAGAGAGAGAGAGAGAGAGAGAGAGAGAGAGACAGAGAGAGAGAGAGAGGATGGGGGGTGGAGGGAAAGAAAAGCAAAAGGGGAGAAATGGAGAGAGAGGAAAAGAAAAAACAGTAAAAGAGAGAAAGAAGGGAAGAGAGGGAGAGAGACAAGAGGAAAGACAGACAACAAACAAGGGAAAAGAGAAAAGAAAGAGAGAGGAAACAGAGAGAAAGTTGGGGACAGGATAAAGACGTGGAGTTGTGTTGAGTTCAAAGGGCCTAAAATGAAAAAAGGAAAAACAGAACTCTCATTATTTCAGAAAACAAAATCAGAGTTTCTCCTCCACACTCGCTTAAAGTTTCTCCAGCAGACGATTTAAATGCTTTTAAATGCAGCAGAAAAATATCTAAACAAGAGTGAAAGAGAGGAGAGAGTGAAAAGAAGGAAATGGAGCAATGAAATGAAGCAGGTGTAGAAAGATGGATGAAAGAAGTGACTGAGGAAGTCTTCATTTCTTATGTTTGTGGTCATATTAAAATATAATGCATTTATGACCTTGTTGATACGAGTGTTACAGTCAGCCTTGTTATTCAGCCCTGTTACAGTCAGCTCTGTTACAGTCAGCTTTGTAACAGTTAGCCGTAATACAGTCAGCCCTGCTACTGTCAGCTCTGTAACAGTCAGCCCTGTTACAGTGATCTCTGTGATAGTCAACCGTAATACAGTCAGCCCTGTTACAGTCAGCTCTGTAACAGTCAGCCCTGTTACAGTCAGCTCTGTACCAATCAGCTATGATACAGTCAGCCATGTTACAGTCAGCTGTGATACAGTCAGCCCTGTGACAGATAGCTCTGTAAAAGTCAACCGTGATACAGTCAGCCCTGTTACAGTCAGCTCTGTAACAGTCAGCCCTGTTACAGTCAGCCGTGATACAGTCAGCCGTGATACAGTCAGCTCTGTAACAGTCAGCCATGATACAGTCAGCCCTGTTACTGTCAGCTGTGATACAGTCAGCCCTGTTACAGTCAGCTCTGTAACAGTCAGCTGTGATACAGTCAGCTCTGTAACAGTCAGCCGTAATACAGTCAGCCCTGTTACAGTCAGCTCTGTAAGTCAGCCGTGATACAGTCAGCCCTGTTTCAGTTAGCTCTTTAACAGTCAGCCATGTTACAGTCAGCTGTGATACAGTCAGCTCTGTAACAGTCAGCCCTGTGACAGATAGCTCTGTAAAAGTCAACCGTGATACAGTCAGCCCTGTTACAGTCAGCTCTGTTACAGTCAGCCCTGTTTCAGTTAGCTCTTTAACAGTCAGCCATGTTACAGTCAGCTCTGTAACAGTCAGCCCTGTGACAGATAGCTCTGTAAAAGTCAACCGTGATACAGTCAGCCCTGTTACAGTCAGCTCTGTTACAGTCAGCCATGATACTGTCAGCCCTGTTACAGTCAGCTCTGTAACAGTCAGCCCTGTTACAGTCAGCCGTGATACAGTCAGCCCTGTTACAGTCAGCTCTGTTACAGTCAGCTGTGATACAGTCAGCCCTGTTACAGTCAGCCCTGTTACAGTCAGCCGTGATACAGTCAGCCCTGTTACAGTCAGCTCTGTAACAGTCAGCCGTGATACAGTCAGCCCTGTTACAGTCAGCTCTGTAACAGTCAGCCGTGATACAGTCAGCCGTGATACAGTCAGCCCTGTTACAGTCAGCCCTGTTACAGTCAGCCGTGATACAGTCAGCCCTGTTACAGTCAGCCCTGTTACACAGCCGTGATACAGTCAGCCGTGATACAGTCAGCCCTGTTACAGTCAGCTCTGTAACAGTCAGCCGTGATACAGTCAGCCGTGATACAGTCAGCCCTGTTACAGTCAGCCCTGTTACAGTCAGCCGTGATACAGTCAGCCCTGTTACAGTCAGCTCTGTAACAGTCAGCTGTGATACAGTCAGCCCTGTTACAGTCAGCCCTGTTACACAGCCGTGATACAGTCAGCCCTGTTACAGTCAGCTCTGTAACAGTCAGCCGTGGTAATCACTTTTGGTAACGATCGTAAAAGGTTTTTGAAAAGTTTGAGATGCAAATTTTCCACTTTTTGTAGAATCACATTGACATTCGGTTCATGTTCTGCATGGACGCTTCGAGTCTGCACTTCTGATTTTTTCTGTTTGTTTTGATGTTAAAATGACTGAAAAATGTGGGGGATGACTTTTCTTCATTTGAGATAAGAATAAGAGATAATTCAGTTGAATGTAAAGGGGCGGGGCTAGGAGGTTTAGGCTATGGAGTTATGGAGTGTTTGTTGTATTTATCAAACACTACATTTTATTTAGATTTATTTATTTCTGTCCTTCAAAAGAAACTCTAACATTTTATTATAGAACAGACAGTTTTGGTTTTAAAATCTGACTGATGAGCCACACTGTAAAAAATATTCACACATATACAACTGAATTTCATATTAATTACTGTTTTTAATTAACTTAACGATCTCATGACCACATGTGGCTCAAACATCTGGGTTCATAGAAAAAAACGACCCGCTCTCTCGTCCAGCGGTCAGTTTATGAGTTTTCTAATTACAGTGGCCCTGATAATCTGATCAGTCAGAAGAGGCTTCAGTGCATCTCCAGAGAGGCTGACCGATATGAACACTTTGTGACTGATACTGATTTTAGGAGGCTAAAGATTTTAATAACTGCTGAAATCGGCTGATATGATTTTACATTCATAGTTTATGTGCAGCAGTTAAACAGCTTTACTGACTGAATGTTCACTTTCCTGAAACTAATAAACAACACAAACTCACAAACATATTGCATCATTGGGGGTGGAGCTACCCAGAATTCCTTGCACTTTTTGGTTTCTGTTTATTAACTCCTAGTTTTTGCTGTTGTCTTTATAAGAAGTGTTTTGTGTTCTGATGTTATTCTGGTCATGTTGACTGTTTCTGTGTTTTTGTAATGATTATCAGGATGTTCTGCTGTAATACAGAGTCGGTTCCTTTTAGGTTCCTCAGTGGAACATCAGAGGTTTCAATCCCAGTGACCAAAAAAGATGCTAGTCATTAGCATGTTATCAGTGTGATTGTTGCGACTGATGCCGACAGAACTGTTATTAATATAGTTTGATATTGTCGGCTAACCAATAAATCGGTCGAGCCCTGGTCTCCAGTGTGGTCAGTGCACTGTTCCTCTACATTCTGAACTCTTGCTGACCCTGCGCTGACCTTGCGCTGACCTTTGTATCTGATTAGCTGTAACTGCTCAGCGTTAGCCCGACTGCAGCGCCAGTTCAGGGTCGTAACTGTAGCGCAGACTGAGTTAGCGCAGGCGGCTAATCCGCAGCAGCTCTGAGGGAACGTCTGAAGTTCTGAGTGCTTCGCTGTCCCACATTTATGTTGTATTTTACTTTTCTTGCCCCTGAGCTCCAGATACACTGAGATACACTGAGAGTGAAAGGGGAAAGAGAGATACAGAGAGAGAGAGAGAGATCGAGAGAGAGATACACAGAGAGAAGTGAGAGAGAGATACACAGAGAGAGAAGGGAGAGAGAGAGATACACAGAGAGGAGTGAGAGAGAGATACACAGAGAGAGAAGGGAGAGAGATACACAGAGAGAGAAGGGAGAGAGATACACAGAGAGAGAAGGGAGAGAGATACACAGAGAGAGAAGGGAGAGAGAGATACAGAGAGAGAGAGAGAGATACACAGAGAGAGAAGGGGGGAGAGATACACAGAGAAAAGTGAGAGAGAGAGAAGGGAGAGAGATACACAGAGAGAGAGAGATACAGAGAGAGAGAGATACAGAGAGAGAGATACACAGAGAGAGAAGGGGGAGAGAGATACACAGAGAGTGAATGGGGGAGAGGGAGAGAGGGAGAGAGAGATACACAGAGAGTGAAAGGGGGAGAGAGAGAGGGAGAGAGAGAGATACACAGAGAGAGAGAGAGATACAGAGAGAGAGAGAGAGAGACAGAGAGAGAGAGATACAGAGAGAGAGAGAGATACAGAGAGAGGGAGAGAGATACAGAGAGAGGGAGAGAGAGATACAGAGAGAGAGAGGGAGAGAGAGATACAGAGAGAGAGAGATACAGAGAGAGAGATACAGAGAGAGAGAGAGATACAGAGAGAGAGAGAGATACAGAGAGAGAGAGAGAGAGAGAGAGAGATACAGAGAGAGGGAGAGAGAGAGATACAGAGAGAGAG